GACTGAGTCCCGACGAGAGCTGGGCTGGCGACCCGCTGAACCCTTTGGTACGCCTTAGGGGGGGATGGGGCCGTCACAGAAACTATTACATCCATAAAGCCAACTTTCGATCTAAATTAACCAACTTTCGGTTTGAAGTTGAACTAGATTCATTAATACTAGTTCTCATTTTAAATGAGAAATCTAGTTGTCCATGAAGTATTTACAAAGAGTGCAGTAGTTATTTGCCTTTTCGGCTCACTTTCTGCAGATTAGTCATTGCTTTCGTCAGTCGAACCAAGTTGCTGATGTTTTATCGAATGTAAGGTGTTCTCATGCTGGAGAGGAGATTTAATCGGCATTATCATCGATTCCACCGCTAGCTAGAGGAGCCATGTGTCTAGATAGGTTAGACATTGCATCTATTAGGAAGATTCCGCATAAGCATGTAAGGGAGTAGTTCTCTATTTCCCATTGCTGCACAATAAGTTGTAGTCACACTCATCTTTCTTGGTGATTTATATAATATAAAAAGGTTGGCGTGTGACAACCCCACTTCCCCTAGGGCGTACCCTAAAGGTTTGCGGACTGCCTGCCTAGCTCTTGGCATGGCTCATTCACTTCCATTAACTTTAGAGATAACATTTCTAATTAAACATCCAAAACATTCATTCTTAATACTTCTCCAACTAGTAAGACAAAAGCTTTGTCCATTACAAAATACAAAAATAAATCTTAACAGTGATATATATATATATATACACACAAAAATGGACCTCCCAAAACATTCTAACCCAACTTGTTCATTCTTCAAACTTCAACTCCTGTAAGGAAAACAAAACTAAAAGGTTGAGTTAAAGTTTAGTGAAGTTTAAATGTGTAAAACCAAATATCAATATAAGACATTCCTTAAACATAACCAATCAAGAGAACAAATTCAATAAGGTAAACATTCACTTAAAAGGATATGAATTCTTCTCACTCCACCATTCTTTCCCCTTATAACCTCCAAAACAATAAACAATCCCTGACATTCAATAAACAGTTCATTGATCTCCAATCTTCAAGGTAAAACTCGAGTATACCATTCAATTGCTCATGGTAGCCAACCTAATCTACCAAGTCCTTTACCGGCTCAACTAGATCAACTTGCCAAGGCATAGGACCCGATTCAGCCGATGTGATAAAGTACACAATGGCCTACAATCATTCATGCACAATCCCGTCAATAATCACTATGATATACATTTCAGTTCATTAAGGCAGTAGCGATAAGTACGCTCTAGCCTTTTATCAGTAAAATTTCAAAACCAAGCAAAGTCTTATGTCATTCATTCAATTCGCATCATTTAACAGTACACAAGCAAGTCACCAAATAAACAAGTACAAACAGCTTAAGAACACTCACTGTAGCCAATATAAGTTACACTTGAATCTCGGAGTTGCTTCCTGGCTCACTGTTGTCCCTTGATACAAGTTTATAAATACTATAATTATTCAACTACTCTTTGGTGAAGTTTTTAAAATAAAAACAGCAATTTCACTTCACTTCTTTTATAGCTTTAGATTTAATGTACTAGAACTCAACATTAACTTTTAATAAGGTAAGTTTTAGAAGTAACTACCTTGAAGGTATTTTCTTGTCCCATAAACCCCTTTTTATTAATTAAGATCATGAGCAAAACTAGTTTATTACCCTAAGGTGAATATACAATTCGTATAAAGCGACTTAAATCATGTTTTAGTTGAATATCTTTTCATATAAATTTTAAGGCTCTCTAGACTCCTATAGTTGGTATAGCAACCTTTCCCGTCCATTTTAACCATTTAACTTTATTTCTGGCCACTAATCACTCACCAATTTAAGGTTTAAATTACTAGAAACCAAGTTCCTTAGCTTATCAAACAAGAGGTGAAATTCTAGCAAACCTTTCTTACATTTCTCTTCAAGATTCATCAAGTTTATCAACTCAAAACAAGGGAAATACATACGTACCCAAAAATTAAGGTCTTGTGTGGTGTTTAGGCCAAGATTAAACCATTTTCAATCCAAAATTCAAAGATTAAGCTAGTAATTTTTCATTTGTTCCCTCCAGGCCAAACCAGTTAGCTTGTTGTTTAATTTTTTTTTCTCAGATTTCACCAGCTTTTCAAGTGTTAAAATCAATAAAATGTACATGAAAATCAAGGACAAGATGTTACAAGATTTTTTACTTGAGATTATAGCCAATTATCATGGAATTTTTTGAAAATAACATGAAAATTTCAACCCCCACTCTCTTGGCCAGCAAAACAGATTTTCCAGCAATGTTACTTCAAAATTTTCAACAAAGTTCCCACCTTTTACTCACTTAAACACCACACACACAACATACATTCTATCCATCATGAAATAAAGCAAATAGCATATAATTTCAGCAAATAATTCCACCAAGAAACCTCAAGTAAATCTGTCATCAGCTAAACAGAATTTCCAGCAAGTTAGTAGTTTGGAAAACAAGTTTTCTCCACAATCTCTTCATATTTTTTCACTCAAACTCAGCATGCAGATGGCGATTATCATGCTACGAGGTATTTTAAGCTGCAATGTAAAATTTGCAGCCAAAGAGTCGAAGAGAAAAGCTGGACAATGCTCTATTTCCTCTCTCCTAAAACTGGAAATTTCCAGCAGCTTTCTTTTAACATTTCTAGCCAAATCTACCAACATTTCATGAGTTTCACAGCTAAATATCTTATAAGACTTAAGATAAATATATTGCATGCATTTCCTAGCATTATTCTCCTAAGAAAGCTCTGATAACAAGCTACAATTCCAGTTCCACTCTCTTGGCCATCACACAGTTTTCTTCCTGTGGGGACCCAAAAATTTTCATTATTTTATTTATTTTATTTCCGTGCATACATTTTCTTTACTTTACTTTATTATCTTAATTTCCTAGATATTTTTATAAGTGAGTATAGTTTTAAATCATTTTCCCGGTATAAGTTAGTTCATATTAAGTTTGAAGTGCATTATGGATGTGGGACCCGCTAGTGTGGTAAGTGTGATAAATTTTTGACGACTAGGTGAAGTTTTGCATAAAGGGATAGTATTTTACAAAGTGCTAGGAGATAATTAGAGGTTAACTAGATAAATTAGCTTTGGAAGACAAGAAGATGAGAACAAAACCCTAAGGCGCCATTTGTCGTGAAACCATTGGAAGTTGGACTTTGACCAAGGTTGTCTTAACTTTCCTAAAACCAAATGCCGTGCCCCATTTTTAAATAAAAATAAATAACGGGTTTGTAAAAATAAGTTTTTGATTTTTAGAAAAAATAAATAAAGAAAATGATGGGCCTAAAATGGGGTTTAATAAGTGCGACGATTTTGACCCAAAAGAATAGTTTAAAAAGGGTTTTTAATAAAAATAGGAGTCGTCACTTGGTATTGAGTTAAGGTGTACCAAGTCACCTAAAATGAATTTTGAATAAAAAAAGTAGAAAAACCCTTTTTAAACGACTCCAAGTTTTCGAAATCAGAGAAAAGTGTTCGGGAGTCACATTTGAAGAAAGGGAAGGCAAGGATAAAATCCAAGGCACCCTTTCAATCTAGCCAAAGTTAGTTGCGTGATTTAGTCAAAATTTTTCTTATTTTAACCTAAGAATTTATCACATTTGGATATACTATATGAATGCAAACCCTAAACCTAGGAGGATATCGGGGGCTCAATATGTCTCTTCGAATTTTAATTGGTGCAAATCGCATTAATTGCGACGCCCAAAAGTGATTATCTGAAGAGGTCACGAATATGCAAAAATATGAGACTCGAAGAAAAGATAGGAAATAATAATATACAAATACACATGACCTAAAGGAATGCATCATAATGGGTGCGGGGGCTATGACCGTGACTTCAATTTTCCCTTTTGTAGAGGGAATATGAGCGTGCTAAGGATAGGAAGCCAAACTCGTCCATACCCCATACTTGAGGGGTATTTCCTAATCTAATCAGGCAAATGTACTAACCTATCTCTAGTTTTCCTTATATGAAATGCAAGTCTAATGTCATGTCTCATACGTAGGGGTAAGGGATATACATATAGGGGAAATATGGGATAAGGGATGTGTATACGTATAAGGGGGGATGTCATGCAAAAATGATAAAAAAACCTAGAAAGTGAAAAATATGCATGAAAATGTAGTGTAGTTACACAAACATGATCTAGCGTGTGAATGGTTCCTAAGGGTCTAGCATTGGACTAACCCATGTCTACAAATTCTCACTAGCATTGGACTAGTGAGAAATCGGAACAAAGGGCCACAACTAGCATTGGACTAGTGTGGTGACGGGAAAGGGGCTACAACTAGCGTTGGACTAGTGTGGTGACGTCATACATTTATTAGAACTCAACAAATCATATAAAGCTAATAAAAACACTACAAGAAAATCAGGCTTTTGTGAGAACCAAATGTCGTCATTAAAAATCAAAAAGTTGTCATTATAAAGAGACAGTGACGACTTTTTCTGTTGTCACGTGGTTGTCACAGATTCTATGTCACAAATGAGTCCATGTAACAACTTTAGATAAGTCGTCACAGAATCATATTATTCTATGACAAAGAAAAACTCGTAACTAACTAAAACCATTTTGTGACGACTTTTCTTGTCATTGCTTCAACTGTATTTTTGTCATAGATAATGTAAAAGTCGTCACAAATTTCATATCTACAATGATGACTTTTACATGTCACTTATAATCCTGTTCATTAGTGACAAGAATTGTTGTCATTGGTTGAACTTGTAGCTAGTGACAACCTTCCCTGATGTAGTCACTGAACTTTGTTTAAAATGTTTGAAATTTGCCATAAAAAGCCTACTTCTATTGCATTTTCAACAGCCATAGCAGAAAATTGTGGCTCGACTAATGCAAAAAATGATAGTAATTAATGTACAATGAACCCTCAAATATATATATATGGTTATAAACATCTCTAAATTCATCAAAACACACATTAACCAAAATGGGTTCCAAAGTCCACATTAGTTCAAGTACTAACAGCCATTATCCATCCAAACAATAGAGTACTAAGTTCACATCAGTTCAACTAGTAACAGCCATTACACATCCAAAAAAAAACAAAGTACTCTTTCCAAACAAAAACATAGACTAAAGCAGCAATTTGTGTCAAACTGAAGTCATCTTCATGAGCATATCCAAAAGCCAACCTTTTTCATCTCCTCAAGAGCATTTAATAGCATTGTACTGCATTGAAAGAAAAGTATCATACGCATTAGAATCGATTTCAGTCAAAAAATTTGCCATTACAAGCATACACTATTGAATTTGAATGAATAGTCATACTGAACAAAAATCCAATTAAGTCAATATGATAAGAGATAAAAGAATCAGTCAAACAAGAGTTTCAACCAAAACATACTAATTAGAATATAGATAAAATCTGCCCAAAATACCTCGTTAGAAATCAATAAAGTCAAGTTTGTTTCAATTCTACTATTAAGGGTTATTTCAACCAAAATTAACTTGATATAATTGACAAATTAAGCTTAAAGAGTGGCTTCTATAAATAAAAAAATGACCCCACCAACTTAGTAAATTTTGTATTGAATCTGCACCCCAAACTCATTGCATCCAGGCAAATTATAAGTTCTCATAGTAAACTGGAAAATGTCATGTTTTTCAAACACCGACATTATAAATACATGCTTATTGAAAAGAATTCCAAATAGAAAATATGCTTCTCTTCTCCCCATTCACAAGTACCTCCTCCCATGTCATACCACTTGACGCTTCTCTAACAAAAAATAAAGTTCAAGATAATTCAATTTTGTTTGCATTAATAGTCTTTATAGTATTTGACTTAATCAAAATACACTCAAAACTTCTTTAAAATAGAAATCCCAGAAACAAGACCCAAGTATAATTTCATGTGTTGTTGTTGATGTTTACCTTTGTAAATATTAAAGGAACACAAACTTTGTAAATTCAAAATTATTTTACAGTATTTTCCAATTTTTAGCACCATTACTATCACAAAATTGTCTCTAGTCCTTGAAAATAAATGAACAAACGATTGAATGTCAAATCTCCAACAAAATTTACAAAATAAAAATAGGGGACTCAAGTGTATTTATCTTTGGTATCATACTAGCCAAGAAATTAATGAAAGCTGATTGTACATGGTGGCCTCTTTTGTGTAAATGCAATTTTAGTGCAATTCTGCCCAAAATCTCAAAGTTACTACTATAAAAACCTTATAGCGATTAGAATATGTAAACTACAATAACTTAATAACTAAAAGACTTCAAAATCTACTAGTTGCACTCCGATAGTGAAAGGTGCTGGATCTAAAAAGAAAAGGAAAGTTACCTCTATGGGTGAGAAGTTCCTGCCAAATTGGAAAAAGATGCAACAAAGCCAGGTGAACAAAGCTATTACGCACAAGGGAGTAAGGGAATCAACATGTACTTTCTAATATTCTTTGTGGAAGAAACATATGAAAGAGAGTAAGCATCACCTTCTAACGAAGTGAAATATCCTCTAAGTTATGTTCCTGCTCTTCAATTAATCTTCTCGCAATCTCCTTAACCTGAAAATGGAGAAGAGAACTGGTTATTTAAGCTTCTCTGACCACCAGTTTAAACATGAAATGGTGATGATGCTGCTAGTTGGATGAACAAACTTTTGTTGAGAATCAAAGAGAGGCTGATGTTGCTGAAGCTAATGCTCTTCTAGCTAACAGAAAGGCTGGATGGGCAAAACATACCCCTTCTGAAGGGCATAGAGGACGTTTGCACTACTATAGTACTATGATGAAGCACATCACAATTTTCATCAAACAATGGATTTATAGCTACCAATTTCAACAATCATTACAGTACTACCCCCATCATACAAGATAGGCAAACTTACTGCATGCAAAGGGATATCCTAAATCAAAGAAAGAAACACAAGACATTCCAAGCGTGCAAAATAGCTTAGTATAGAAAAGGTATATGCCTTCTCTGAATGCAGATAGTGTGCAAAACAGCTTAGGATAGAAAATGTTGGTTAAACAAACTACACCTGCTACTCATTGTAGAATAAATAGATATCAAAGAACTTGTCTATGGTGTAAACTGTAAATGACATGATATTGCCATCATGATACGAACGGCACCAACCTTGTGATGCAACCCGTACAAAAAGGCTTGGATCTAGAAGGTAGAGTCTCACGTTGAAGACGACGAACGCAGCGGATCACCTAAACCCGTTGATCACGTGGTCAACGAACCTCGGTATTTGTAGAAGACGCCACAATCTAGCGCGGTCCTAGATTGATAAGTCAATTGAATACCTAAGATACAAATCTAAGATATTCAAGGTGCTTCAACGAAGCTTTGAGAGAACTCTCAATGTAATTTTATTAATCATCAAAAAAAATTGAGTGTAAACAACGACTTAAGGCTATTTGTAGCCGTAACTAAAAACCTAACGAAGCTTGTAAAGAGTTGAAGGAAAGGCGGCCCGCCCTTGGGCTTCCCTTTGGGCCGCCACTAGCCCAAAAGCTCCGGGGGCGTTGCCCCCTAGCCCCCACCAGGGGCGTGTCGTCCCCTGGGCCCCCGACTCGCTGACCGGGCAGCGAGACCCCCGTAACAGCTCAGCGTAGGGACTACAAAGGTGGCCCACATGGCCTAGCCTATGGCCAAAGACTGACAATGACTAAGGTCCAACCCATAGGCGTGTTGGACCTCTTTATTATACTCTACTAACTGATGATGGGCCATGGCCCTTGGCCGAATCTTGGGTAGCTAATCCTCTTGAATGGCTGCGAGTAAGATCACATATCTAGCTTCGTTGAGGCCCTCAATAGCCTTTGGCTCTCCACTGGGCGCTCGGGCTGCACGAACCAATATTTGTAGTGCTTCATTCAATCTCTTTGTGCGGGGTCGTGTCATAGGCCCCAATGGCACCTTCACTTGCTCCACTTGGATAGCTCTCTCGACCTCCTCATCACATCAGGAAATTAAGGTCAGTGTACGCTACCATGATTCAGAGTATCAAGATTCATGTATATTTCTTCCAAGCAATTGATGATCTTAAAGCTACGGCAAACTCTAACAACTTTTTCTTTAAAAAATCATCTGATCTGCGGGCATTCTTTTTCTATCTTTGTTATCTTTTTTGCATGCAAGTACAGGTGAGCCGAATAAAAGGAGAGGGATTACCTCCAGAGAACTTTTGGAGATGAAAATCAAGATCTGATACCCGAAAAGGAAGTCTAATATAACAAGAAATTACTAAATATGATATCTGATACCCTTGCGAAAGGCCTACACGAGCTTATCCCCTTCAGTACCATACACAACCAAAGGACCTTTCCTGCAGATGTAGCGGCAGTTACGCATCTTACCCTTTCCTGGGCGGATACCCTGGCTGTCTTTAGCCTTCTCAGCATCAGGGTAAGCCCCAATTTTCTTGAGAAGACTAATAGCGTTGGAGGTTTTCTCCATGGCCTCAGCAAAATTGGAGATCGCACAGGGGATTTGCAGGACAGACTCGATGCGGTGGCTGCAGGCCATGACAAGTGAAGGCACTACAGAGGGGGCGATGGCAGAAACCACGGCATACCGTTTCTTGTTGACTGGGACCTTGCGGTGCCAACGGCGCCAGATCTTGGTCGGAGCAAACATGTGGCCACCGCAGCACATGTTGCCATAGGCACCCTGGCCTGCATGGTGAGTGCCTCCGCCAGGAACACGAGAGATACAGGAAACAGTGCGACTAGTACCCCAGGACTCGACAAAGGTCTGGTGGCCAGCGGACCTAAAGACGGCGTAGGTTGGCGAGAGTTCTTGGAGATGTCGCGCGATGAACGTCTTGAAGGATGTCTGGCCGGATTGGGGCTTTCATGACGTCAAGCAGAGGGAGGGAGTTGGCGTCGGCCTCCATTTCATTCTCAAGAGGGATAACGGTAACTACAGGGAGAGCGGCGGCGGAATTAGGGATTTTTGCTATCTATAACTCCACTAAATCTACACAAATCTTTTGGGTAACTCAAATTACGGATGAAAATGGTGGGTTAAAATAATTTTCTGGATAATTTCAGCAAAATGATAGTGGAGAGAAGGAGAAGATGTAGTGTATGAAGTTGGCAAGAAGGGGGAAAGCAAGTTTTATCCGAAATTTTTCTAAGTGTTATGAGTGTTTTTGTTTAACTCTTGCTAACGTGACGTCGTTTTTGCTTCTTTTGTTTACCCGTCTCTACTCGTACAATTTTGTTCAATTTTTAACTTTCCCCGCCTCTACTCCAAATTTCAGCTTCCCCCGCCTCTACTCCAATTTTGAGCTTCCCACTTCCATTTTAGCTTCAGCCAAAAAATAACGCTTTCAAGTGACTTTTGTACTAACTATTTGGACCTTTCTTTACAAAAACAACGCCTTCTCTAGTATCTCTCCTTTTCTTTTCTCCATCTTTGTGTAATTAAAGTTGTTTATTATTTTGAGTTTTTAGCTCACAAGTTGTATTAAAACTTTATTTGTTGCATTAAAACTTTAGAATATGAAAATTTAGTGTTTTTTGATAATTTTGTTTACTGACACATGTTTTTTTTATCTCTACAAAAAATCAATGTCCAAAAACTATAAAGCTTATTAAAAATATGTTTATGATTCAAAAAAAATCTTTTAATGTAAATATTTTTGGTATTAATTTAATAATTTTATGAATTATGTACGAATTATGGTTTGACAAGACCTAACAATCTGTTTAGTTGATCAAATAACCAAAATAGTTTGCTAATACATGCATGACACACTAAATGTTTTTGGTACAAGTACCGATTCATAAACCATAAACAATGTGACTATTGTAATTAATAATAAACTCCAGTCATCCAATTGGTTTACTAGTTAATAATAAACTAGTTGATCAAATAACCAAAATGGTTTACTAATACATGCATGAAACACTAAATCTATTTGATACATGTACTGATTCATAAACCATAAACAATTTGATTATTGTAAATTGTAATACATAACAAACTCCAGTCATGGAATTGTCAAGATTTTTACTTAATTTCATATTCAATTTTATTATTCTCTTCCATTATTTTCACACTATGTTAATCAGTAATTTCCCATATGTTGTCAAGAGAACTAAATAATGAATTCATGATATTTTTTAACTTTATAACAAGGTATTAGCTATGTTTGGAATAATTAAAAAATAGGTAAACATTGTTTTTTACAATACCTTCCTCATTTTGCTAATGATAAACACAACCTAAAGTGTAAAAGCATAGGGTGCCATAATAGAATTAATAAAACCTTTCTTTATCACATACGAGGCTAAATTGCAAAATATAAGGTGTCATGGTAGAGTTAATGAGATTAGTTTATCAAATAAGGGGCTAAAAAATAAAAGTTCGGGTATCATAACATAATTAATTAAATTTACTTGCAGCATATGGGCCATATAGAAAAAATTAGGGTGGTATATGGGGTTAAAATGTAAAAGTTAGGGTGTCATAGTAGAATTAATAAAATTTATTTACAACACATGGGCCATATTGAAAAAATTAAGGTGGTATATGGGGTTAAAATGTAAAATTTAGGGTGTCATAGTAAAATCAATAAAATTTATTTACAACACATGGGCCATATTAAAAAAATTAAGGTGGTATATGGGGTCAAAATGTAAAAGTTAGGGTGTCATAGTAGAATTAATAAAATTTATTTACAACAAATGGGCCATATTGAAAAAATTAGGGTGACATAGTAGAATTAGTGAAAGTGAGATGGGAATAAATGCTTTGGACAGTGACGACTAGTTGTTGTCACTAATTTAGAACTGGCAACCATATTGTGACGATATTTCAAGTTGTCACTGTAGGACGAGTTTCAGTGACAACATGTTTTCCAGTCGTCACAATGGTGATCTCCTGCCACACTGGATAGTTGCGCGCCATCCGTATTGTGACGACTTATTCTATGTTGTCACTGTTGACGGGTGAACCCACGATCAAGTATGACGACATTAAAGGTCGTCACTAAAGTTTTCAATTGTGACAACTTTCTCTCTTGTCACAGAGAATGTTGTCACAAAAGGCCAAATTTCTTGTAGTGAAAGCAAGTAAAGCATAAGTCACATAGAGCACATAGCACATAAGCATGATATCTAGATGCAAGACCCTAAGAAAGTGAGTAACACGTAGCACATAAGCATGCAAAACACATAAAGCAAATAAAGCGAATAAAGCCCTACTATTACATTTGGGGTGACCCTAACTACAATCTAAGAGGGAAAATAAAATAAATAAATAAAAGAAATACCTAACTATTACAATTTTGGCATTTAAATGCCTTTCAAATAATCAAAATTAAATTAAAATAAATAAACTAAATCAAAACAAATAAAGTGACTAAATAAATAAATAAAATAAAAATATTCAAAAAAGCATGCAATTTCACACATAAATTCACATAGGAGCACATTGGATCAAGTAAAAAATCAAAATAAAACGGTAGAGTGTACCTCCCATGAATTGGTGCCCTAATGAAATGAAATTTACTTATTTACGTTCCAAAACAAAGAAAAGGTCAAGGCATCATTTTAA